TGTTGTGTATATTGGATGTAGTGGCAAATGTCTATAATCCCAGCACTTAGGAGGCAGAGGCAGGAGGATCACAAGTTTAGGTTCAGGGGGCAAACTGCTTGCTGCTCAAATGTAACGACCTGAATTCAGATCGCTAGGATCCACCTAAAAGCCAGACCCCATAGTGCGCATCTGCAGCCCCAGAGACAGGGAGGGACAGTGAAATCCCCAGAAGCCAGCCTGGAGTACACATACAATGCTGAATGACAAGAGAGACCCTGTGTCTCAGAAGGTAGGAGATGAGATGGACACTCAAGATTGTCCTCATGCACACCCCCACATGCCCAAATACACATTAAAAATAAACAAACAAAAACAAAAAAACAAACAAGCCAGGCTGTGGCAAGCACGTGTTTGTCTTGAATCCTTGCACTTGGGAGGCAGAGGCAGGCAGCTTTCTGAGTGTGAGGCCAGCCTGGTCTATAGAGTGAGTTCCAGGACAACCAGGGCTTCACAGAGAAACCCTGTTTCAAAAACACAAACCAAATTGGAAAAACAAAAACAAAGATAAAACAAACAAAAGACCTTCAAGGTTAGCGTCGCTGACTTACCAGGTTTGAGGCCAGTCTGGGTTAAGCAAGACCCTTTAAATTTAAAGGAAAGAAAGAAAGACGTTCCTTGTTCATAATTTACAAATTAGTGTTATCTAACTTTTCTGGACACGGTGTTTAGAAGAGTGAACACCATTTAGGGTACAGGACACATTCTGGAAGGAGAAGACAAGGCACAATAATATGCCCTAAAAACTAAGGTTTCTGGTGTTGGTTTTTAGAGACAGGGTTTCTCTGTGTAGCTTTGGAGCCTGTCCAGGAACTCGCTGCCGTAGACCAGGCTGACCTTGAACTCACAGAGGTCCACTAGCCTCTCCTTCCCGAGTACTGGGATTAGTTAAAGGCTTGTGTGACCACTACCCTGCCAAGTTGATTCTAGAGAACTTGGCTTGCTATGATTTTTCCAAATACAATACTTTTAGCATCGGTGTGTGGAAAGCAGATGGTGGGAGCTGTGCTGGCTTATTTAAACAAACAAACTCAATTTAGAAAAATTACACCTTAAGAATCTAAGGACAAGCTGGGTGGTGTTGATGTAAGCAGGAGGACTATCAAGCCTAAAGGGAGGGTTCTGTTTACTAAAAAAACAGATTCCCCCCCACCCCCGCCCCAAGACAGGGTTTCTCTGTGCAGCCCTGGCTATCCTGGAACTCACTCTGTAGACCAGGCTGGTCTTGAACTCTGAGATCTACCTGCCTCTGCCTCCCAAGTGCTGGGATTAAAGGTATGCGCCACCACCTGGCTTCTAAACTCAGATATTTTAAGGGGTCCCTATTGTTAAGTAAAAATAATAAGAAAAGGGCAGCTCCGCTGGTGCAAGAAATCCAATTAGGTCAAATCAAAGCGAATCAAATTGCCCATCATTTTATTAAAAATGATGCTCTCAGGTGGCCAAGGGGGGGGGGTTGGGGGGGAGGTGACAGAACAGCAGGGAGCCCATGCGGACCCAAAAACCACGTGTTTCTCCTCTAGAAGGCCACTTAAATACCCTGTGGGAGTGGGATCTGGCATGCTGGGATTTGGAGTCCAGACCAAAGCAACTCCCAGGCCAGGGAGGCTGGGATGGATGTCAGGGGCTGGGGGCTATGCTCCCAACTTAACAACTATTTGCTAGGAACCACCTTTAATCCTCCTGGGATATGTTAGCCTTAACCTTCCCCCAAAGGTCAGCTACCTCATGCAAGGGACTCAGATCTGGACAGCCTGTCGCAGCTCAGATCCCCACCCTGCTAAATGACACACGTCTTGTCTTACCAACCTTTTGCTCTTCCCTCTGCCTCGTTTGATCCCCAATGAATCTTTCTTTCTGCCCACAGAATGGTCTCCCTGCACCATGTCTTATGGAGTTATGGTGTGTGCTGTCCTTGTGTAAGTGGGTATCATTTATATTAAAATGCTCTATTACACTTTATCTAACATATTTGTGTGTGTGTGCACATGCAGGCCATAGTGCACACGTGGAGGTCAGAGGGCAATTTAGGAGTCAGTTCTCTCCTTCTCCCTTGTGGATTCTGGGGTCGAAACTAGAACTGCCAGGCTCGACTGTGAGCGCCTTTACTAATTGAGATACGTTCCAAGTTTTACATCTTTTATTTTAATAATTTTTACACTTTTTGCTTGTTTGTATTCAAGACAAAGTTTCTCTATGTAGACCAGGCTGGCCTCAAACTGCCTGCCTCTGCCTCTCAAGCGCTGGGATTAACGGCATGCCCCACTATACTAGACTTTCTTTTTATTTTTAATTACATATATGTATGGGTGCGTGGTTTCCTTATGTGAAAATAATGCCTGTGGAGGCCAGAAGAGGGTGTCGGATTCCTCCGAAGCTGGAATTAAAGGCAGTTATAAGCTGTCTCATGTGGGTGCTACAGAGCTCAGGTCCTCTGCAAGAGCAGCAAGGGCTCATAACACAAGCATCTAATTCTAGTTCCAGGGGATTCAATCCCCTCTTCTGGTCTCCGAAGGCACCAGGCATACATGTGGTATACAAACATACATGCAGCCTAAATACCCATACACATAAAACAGAGATGAATAAATATTAAAATAAACAAGCAGAAAACTAGATGGACAACCGAGAAGGAGTGCTTCTGGGCTGGCCTTCTGTCCCTTCCTCTGGAGAGGTGCAGTAACAACCCAGATCTTGAACTGACTCCTCTGCCTCCACTTCTGAGTGCTGGGATCATGGATGCACAGCATCACATCCAGCTTGCTTTGTCTTTGCAATAGGCTCCTTGTAGCCCAGGCCAACCTCATCCTGAGTGCTGGGGTCACAGGTGTGTGCCATCACACCTGGCCTAATAACTTACTCTTACAGGCAAAAACAAAACAAAACAAAACAAAGCAATAACAGTCTCAACAAAATTGCTAGCCTTGCCTCATGCCTCCAGGGAGGCTGAGGTGGGAAGACTGGAAGAGTTTCAGGCTAGCCTGGGCTATCCAGTAAGTTCCAGGTCAGGCAGGACTGGCATCTTGTGTTATAGAACAAAAACAAGCTGGGTGTGGTAGGGCAGGGCGGGCAGGAGTCTGGTGTTCAAAGGTAGCTTTGCCTAACGAGTTTGAGGCTCGTGGACTACGCAAGACCCTGTCTTCGAAAACAAAACAAACAAACAAACAAACAGAAAAACAGTCAACATCAAAGAAACCAAACCAAATCCCTAAATTCAAAAGTAGACCCAGACCTCATGGCCACCTGTTCAGTAGCGTAGGAGGCAGAGACAGAAAGCAGAAGTGACTCCAGGGCTCGGAAGATGGCACAGTGGGTAAGAGTACTTGTTGTATAAGCATGAGGATCTAAGTTCAAATCCCTAGAACCTGCATAAAATTCCAGGCATGGCCAATAACCTCTTTGTTGTGGCAGGTAGAAACATGGGTATTGACGGGGCCAGCTTGGCTTCCAGTGCAAGAGGCTATCCAGACCCTGTCTGTCTTTTGTGTTTGTTTGTTTTATTTTTTTGAGACAGGGTTTCTCTGTATAGCCCTGGCTTGATCTGGAACTCACTCTGTAGACCAGGCTGACCTTGAACTCACAGAGATCTGCCTGCCTCTACACCTCCCAAGTATTAGGACTAAAGGCATGCCCCACCACTGCCTGGTCAGAAAGTTTTTAAAGTGATCCACTCCAAACCCTACAAGGCCTCCAGTGGAAGCCAGGCTTCTCAGCATTTTCTCTCAGACTGCATGATCTTTAAGAATTTTGTTTCGCAAACAGGGTGATGAGAGAACCAGCAAGCGCTTTCCAGAGGAAGGTGAGACTTGCCTAGGGCAGTGTCCTTTAAGAATTTCTGGCCAGTTGGGTGTGGTTGAGTACATCTGGAATCCACCTACTTTGGATCCCAAAGCAGGAAGGTCACAGTTCATAGCCATCCTGGACAACTTGGCAAAACCTTGTCTCAAAATAAAACTGAATGAAGAAAAAAGAAAGAAAGAAAGGAAAAGAAAGAAAGAAAGAAAAGAAAAACGGCTGTGACTTGATTGTAGAGCATTAGTTTAGCATCTGGAAGATCCTGAGTTCTATCCCTTGTATGATTAAAAAAAAAGTCACCAACAGCCAGTGTATACCTGTTGTGTATGTAGTGATGTCAAAGCACCAAACACAAGCTTGGCATCCAGCCCACATTCAGGATGCACTTGCTGAATAAATAAACACAGGGCCCCAAATAAGAAAAGTATTTTTTTGTTTTGTTTTGGTTTTGGCTCCCAGAGTGTCCCAGTCATCCAGTCATCCAGTGTGGATGAGCACTTCTACTTCTACGCCTTTCTTTCCTGCTAGTGACTTGCTTGGTAAAGCCAGCAGGAGACCCTCTTGACATTTGTTTTATGAAATTGACTTGATCTGCCTCAGCCAGCGACATCTGTTTGGAACTGCCAGAAAAACTGACAGCAACTCCCACGCGGCGGCATCCTGCCTCGCCTGACTAGGAAACCTCCTCCACCCTCCAAAGCACTTCTTTGCTGCTCCATCTCTCCCCGGCGGCTTTGGTGGGAGTCCTTCCTTCCCATTGTCCGCCCGAAACTTGAAGCCACTATTGCACTGAAGGCGCTTTGACCTGGCTGACCAGCTCACAGCCCACACATCCTTCTAGAGACTTAAGAGTGTGGCAGTTCGCTGCGTCCTTCTAGGACGAGGGTTGTCTCCCTACAGTCTCTTCCAGTTTCAGTTCCCTTTTGGGAGCTGTTCCCCTAGCAGCTTTGGAAGTCAATCCCGTTCACTAAAACTGTCAGTTTTGAGAAAAGCAACATTAGGGAGGAGACGGAAGGTGCAGACACGAGTAGGAGGTGCTGACTCTGTGAGGAACAGGTAGGGAACAGCCCAGGCACACTTCACCTGCAGAGGAGGGGAGAGGACAGGCGGGATTTGATGTGTCCTAGCTTTCCCAAATAGTCCCCTCCCAATAGTTCCCTGCTCACCTCTGCAGAGGGCCGTTCCCAAGCGTCTCTGTCTCCTAGCCACAGATCTAGCCTGTGGTGCTTTCCTGTTTTTCTGTGGCTGCTGCGTAGCTCAGCAGGCTAACCTTATTGTCACCCGGCTCTGCTTGGGTGGGTCGGGAGGCTGGCCCTGGTGATCGCATTACAGGGCTGCCGACTGGCTCTGGCCAGGCACGTGATGAGAAAAAGTTTAGGTCTGCGTAGGCTGGAAACAGATGCCTTTCTTTTGGAAGGACATGTCCTTAATCAGAGAGGACGCGCAAGGAAACAGGGCACGGGTCCAGCTTCTGCTCCCCATTGCACTTTCTTTTTCCTTCTCCAATTTTAGAACATGTTAACACACGGAAGACAGGCTGAGGCAAAGGTGTGGGTAGTAGGCGATGGCACACACTTGCCCAAAGGTTTCAGATCAGAGGTCTGACTGATTCGCTTTAGTCCCCTCTCCCTCCCTCCCTTCTTCCTCCCTCTTTTAAAAATATGTAGGAATACATAGTGTATGTATTTAAATTTTTGTTTGTTTCTGTCCTGGAACTTGCTTTGTAGCCTCTGCCTCCTAAGTGCTGGGATTAAAGGTGGGTGTGGTAGCTCCCACCTTTAGTTCCTTCTTTAAACTTACCTGCTGTATACCTGTGTGTCTACTTGTCTGGATGTGCAGCACTTGACTGCAAGTATCCCCAGAGGCCACAAGAGGGCGTCTTATCCCACAGAACTGGATTTACGGGCTGTTGTGAGCTGCCCCATGTGGATGCTAGGAACTGAATTCTGGTCTTCTACAAGAGCAGCAAGTACTTGTAACCTTTGAGGGATTTGAGGGAGGCCAGCCTTAAGTAGCCCAGGCTGGCCTCAGACTTACAAAGAAGTCAAAGCTAGTCTTGAACTCCTGACCCTCTTACTTCAGTGGGCTGAGGATATTGGGATCATAGGCATGCACTACAGTCTGGCTGCAAATTACTTGAAAAGAGACAACTATTCGGACACATTCACCTGCCACTTTATGACAGGGGTCACTCTTTTTTTTCTTTTTCTTTTTTGGTTGACAGAGTTTCTCTGTGTAACTCCTGTTGCAGACCAGGCTGGCCTCGAACTCATGAATATCTGCCTATCTCTGCTGGGATTAAAGGCATGTGCCACCACACTTGCCAGGAGTCACTCTTTAGAAGGCCGGATCCCTCAGCCTGAAAGGATGAAGCCTCCCTCAGCTCCCTCTGGGAAGGACAGTCTATACTGTGTGACCTCACTGCTCTCAATACCGGGCTCTTCTGCTCTTTGTCAGATACCCCACGCTGAAGTAGTTTCTATGTTCTGAAGCTTCCCATCAGTTCTCCCAAATTCATGAGTCTGGTATTTGCTGGGAGAGTCCCCTGAAGGCTACTTTCTGAAGAGGCTTCTCTGGTCCCCCTCTCCCATGCATCTCTGTACCAGTAGCTGGTGTGGCATGTACTCCGTAGACCAAGCTGGCCAAAAGCTCACAGAGATCTACCTGCCTCTGCCTCTGAGGTCTGGGATTTAAGGTGTGTGCCACAATGCCAGGCTATTTTATTTTTAAAACTGTCTGTGTGTGTCACATGACTGCAATGCCCTGGAGCCCAGAAGGGGTATCAGATTCCTTGGTGTTGGAGTTACAGATAGTTGTCAGTCACTCCATGTGGGTGCTAGGAACCAAATTCTGGTCCTCGAGAAGAGCAAGCATCTTAATCACTGAGTCATCTCTCCAGTCCATTCCGGTTTTCTGAGGGACAGGTCCTTGTGTAGCCAGGCTGGGCTTTCACTCAGAGTTCCCGATTCTCCTGACCACCAATAGTGGTGAGATTATAGGCAGATGCCAGAGTTGGTTTCTGCGGAGTTGAGGTGGAACATGGCCTCACACGTGCTAGGCCTGGACTCTGCAAACTCCCCTGTCCTTGGTTATATTTTATTTTATTATTTATTTATTTATTATGTATACAACATTCTGCCTTTATGTATGTCCGCACGCCAGAAGAGGGTGCCAGATCTCATTACAAATGGTTGTGAGCCACCATGTGGTTGCTGGGAATTGAACTCAGGACCTCTGGAAGAGCAACTAGTGCTCTTAACCATTGAGCCATCTCTCCAGCCCCTTGGTTATATTTTAATACTGCTTTAAAAAACATTTTTTTACTGTGTGTATGTGTGCGCGTCTGTTTGTGGGAAGGTACACATGTGGTAAAGGGCCTTCAGAGAGCTGGAGTTATAGGCGGTTGTAGCTGCCTGATTGGGGTGTTTGGAACTGAACTTGGCAAAAGCAGTAAAAGCTGAGCCATCTCTTCATCCCTGTTTATTTATTAATTTTATTTTGAGATGGGGTCTCAGGTAACCCAGACTGGCCTGGAACTCCATCTGTAAAGGTTGACCTTGACCCTGGTCCTCAGGCCTCTTCCTTCCCCAGTGCTGGGATTACACCTTGATTTCTTACATTTGAACGCGGAGAGTTTTCCTGGTAGGCCCCTGAAGAGTCATGGTGCTTGCTGGGTGTAGTGGTGCTTGCTTGTGAGCCCAGCATTCAGGAGAGGGAGGGAGACTGAGCACTGGAGGCAGCCAGGGTCACCCAGTGAGGCTGTCTCACAGATGTGTCATACATTATTTAGCCAACAAAAGATCATGGCTTAGTCATATTTTTCTTGGACCGGTTTGTTGCATTAAAGTCAGGGCTCAGTAAAACACTCACTTAAAAATTAACTACACGGTTGGGTGCAACTTGTCCAGGGTTTTCCTCATCTCTGAGAGACACTGCTATACTTTCCTCCATTCTTTGGCTATCTACATGATGAGCCTGTTGTGCGCACTGCTCAGATATGGTTCCAGATGGCCAGGGTCCTGGCACCGACAGTGTAGTTCAGTGGATAGGGTACCCACCTACTATGACAGAGGCCCTGAATTCCAGCACCGTCTCGGTTCTTTCCTGTAACTCTTGCTCCAGGGGATTCAATACCTCTCACTTCTACAGGAACATGCATTCACAGGGACATACACACAAATACACATAGTTTAAAAATTTTAAAAATTAAAAAAAATTTAAGGTTTGGCTACAATATGTGCGACTACGTTTGTTGTGTGCACGAAGGAGGGCAAGGGGACATTCGAGTGGCAAGAGTCTAGCAAGCAGGGTTCCCTCTCACTCGCCTCTTTCCATCGGCCCAGCTCTATGTAGGCCAGGATGAACTTTCTTCTTTGTGCCGTATTTACTTTGCAGTGTGAATATTTTCACAGTGCCCTTAATTCTCAGTCCGCAGAACCCACCTATCTCGGCCACCATCTTATGGGAAAAACTAGCTACCTATTTAGACCAAGTTTAGTAGAATTCACATTATTTCTGTCTTTATATCTATAGAGATCCAAGTCGCGTCTAAAAAACAAACCAAGCCGAGTATGCTGGGACACACCTGTAAGTCCAGCATGCAGACAGGAGGATCAGGAGTTCACATTTGAAGTTAGCCTGTGCTGTGAGAGACCATCTCACAACCTTGTCCCTCAATCTAAATCAGCTTCTTCTGCTGAGTGGGAATGCCAGGACTTCAGTCTCCCAGGTCTGCCTCTTCTTGCCCTCTACAGTCTCCTGGCTCACGTCTCTGCAGCTATCTGGCCTTTCATTACCTTGGCACAAAAGAGCCATCTTTAGCCTCTGCTTGAAATGTATTTGCCCAACGTCTCATTTCTCTCTGTTTAAATTTCACTTCCTCGGGGAGGCCTTCTTCCCTGCCTGCCTGTGAGACCCCCTGCGCATGCCCCCCCGCCGCCCCGCCCCCCCTGCCCCAGTGTATCCAGTGGGCTCTTTCATGATAACTATTATAGTTTCTCAGAATCATATATATTTTTGGGGGGATTAGGGTGGGGAGACAGTGTCTGATAAAGCTCAGGCTGGCCTAGAAATCAATATGTAGCCAAAGGTGGCCTCTTGCCTCAACCTTCTGGGTGCTAGGGTACAGGTGCACCACCACAGTAGCTGATATTCACCCCCCCCCCTTTTGAGACAGGGTCCACCCTCTATGCAGCTCTGGCTGGCCCAGGACTTGCTGTGTTCCCCAGGCTGGCTGCAAACTCCTAGAGATCCTCCTGCCTCTGCCTCCCACGTGTTGACATTACAGGTGTGTGCCGTACACTCCGGTTCTTGAATGCTTGTTTACTTGTTCATCGGTCTCTGTTTCATTCACCAGTGCCAGCAGGGATCCACAATCACAGCAAAGCCTCCTGGATGAGCCCTTCGTCCTGGCTGAGGGGTCAGAGGCCTCCGGGAGGCAAGCCCCTCAGTCAAGCTAAGCATCTCTTCCTTTCCGTGAAATCAGACGATGCATAGGTTGGAACACTTTTGAAATTAACTTGGTTCTTTTGAGGTAGAGAGTCTTACTACGCAGCCTAGACTGGCCTTGAACTTGTGCCAATTCTGTTGCCTCCGCTTCCTGAGTGCTGAGATTATGGGACTGCATTTCCATATCTAATGCCAGGTGTTTTGAAGGTTAAAGGTCTCTGAGTAGTCTAAGGAGATTTGAAATGTGACTTTAGTAGATTCTAAGGGAAAGGGAAATCTAATACAGCTAAATAAAACAGATTTAATACAGGTTTCGAGGAGTGCACTGGAGCTGGCTCAGGACAGGGTGTTCGCTGGTGAGGGCCTGGCTCTGCCTTCTCTACACAGAAACCTGCAATCTTTACACAGCAGGTTTTTTTTTTTTTTTTGTTGGCTACAAACTGAAATGCTCAAACACTTAGAATGAAACATGGCCTGTATCTAGAGGCAGAAAGGGAGTTTAACCAAAACAGCCATTTGGAATGTGGGAGGTAAAAATTTCTCCTGTCTTTGAGGGCACTGACCAGAGCTTCAGGTTTAAACAGAGGACTGGGTCTGGGGAAGGCTGCAGTGATGCAGGCAGGCTTGGTGTGTGTGGTTGGGCCTTCTCTAGAGGAGAGGCCTTTGTGATGAGGCAGGTTGGGTGAGGTGTGGTCTGGCTGGTCTTTGTCTAGGGCAGACACTTCTGGAATTAGAAACATGCCTAAGTACAGTTATATAGGAGTCTGACCCAAATTTACAATGAAGGAGACAGATGCTAAGTGAAGGTAGGTGCCAGAATTTTAACTGCTTTTAACGGTGACATTTATTCGTGTGTGTACACGTGGATCATATGTGAGGGTAAGAATGTGGGTCCTGGGGATGAGACTCCAGGCCTGGCAGGGTTTTGTCCACTGAGTGAGCTCACTGATCTTTAACCTCTTTTTACTTAAAATGTTTTACTTAAAACATTTATTTATTTATTTATTTATTTTCAAGACAATATCTCCCATATAGCCCTGGCTGGCCTAGAACGTTTGGCGATCCTCCAGCCTCAGCTTCTCACGTTCTGGGATCATAGGCATAAACTACCACTTCTTGTGTCCATTTGTTTTTTGAGACAAGGTTTCTCTGTGTAGTTCTGGTTGTCCTGGAACTCATTCTGTAGACCAGGCTGGCCTAGAGCTCAGAGATTTACCTGCCTCTGCCTCCCGAGTGCTGGAATTAAAGACGTGCACCACCTCCAGTCGGCAAACTGTTGCTTCCTTAACCCACTCTTTAGCTACCTTGTGGCCAAAACCAGTTTCTAGGTACTGGCTGTAATGAAGGGCAGGTTAATATAAAGTGACAGACCTTGAGTGACAACTCAGAGGGGCGAAAAGCAACCCATAGGCTTATAGCATGTCAGGTTTTATAAATGTGGGCACAGAAACTAAGTACTAACCTGGGGGTGTTAGTTTATATTCAAAGTACTTCAAGCTCAAATGTATTTTAGATCTTATTTTCTTACACATAGTGTACATTTTTTTAGAAGTGCATATCTTTGTTTAGAACAGGGGTAACAGGAGGCCAGGCTGGCCATGGAGAGCTATCATCTGCTCTTAAGAACATCCATGTTAGTGGTGGTTAATCCCAGCACTCAGGAGGCAGAGGCAGGCGAATCCCTGTGAAATTCGAGGCCAGTGTGGTCTACAGAGCATGTTCCAGGACAGATTCCAAAGCTACAGAGAAATCCTGTCTCAAAAAAACAAAAACAAACAAACAAAAAAACATGTTATAACCACTGTTTCTCTGTATTTTCAAAACTCTGCTTTCCAGTTGAAGTATGTTTAAACCTTACTTTCTCTCGTTTGCAGTTTGAAAGCCATTGTTTAAAGTGTAGAGAAAGTTTATTCCACTGCCTCCTGAAATACAATCCTGTTCTGTGAGAAGCTCTAGGTGAACGGTGTGTGTGTGTGTGTGGGGGGGGGACACGGGACGGGACGGGGACCAGGTGTTTCCTGTTGATCACTTTCAGTGCACACCAGGCCGCTTGGTGGCAAGAAAAACAAAATTCCAAGAATTTCAAAGGTTCTCCTCACATGACTAGGCACATGATAGGGCCACCCCTTCCTGAATCTAATTACAAGTAGGTGAACAGAACACGATAGGTCCACCCTTTCCTGAATCTAATTACAGGCAGGTGAACAGAGAGCAGACCACACTGCCCGTGAACTGACTGAGGGAAGGCAATGTCTAGGCTTCTAGACAAGCCGACACCTCAAACAAGGCTGGCCGTGCAGCAAATGCCATCAACATTGTTGCAGAGAGAATCCACGGCAGCTACAGTTACTAGCTGCTCACACCTCTCTGTGGTGCCACTGTTGATGCTCTTAAATTTTCATCCTCATCACAACTTTGAAAGCCCTGTCTCTATTTTACAGATCTGGAGGGGAGAGGAAGCGAAGGCTTGGGCTCAGTACTGCCCTTGGCATTTCTACTCCGAAGGCAGGCCCTGGGATTTCACTTCTCTGGAAAATAAGATTTTGGCAATCCCGTTTAAAAGGCCAGCTCTTATTTAGCCAGGAAGACATATTTTGGAATTAAAATGATAAGGGTAGAGTGACTAGGAGATGGGATGTCAGAAGGGGACACCTGCTGTACGCTTAACTACAGCCCTTTGAAGAGGAAGCACCAGCGATGGTGCCACATTAGGCTCCCCAGTCCCTCCCGGGGAAGGCGCGGGGCTCCCGCGAGGCCTTAGTCTTCTTGCCTCTTGGGAGAGCACGAGGTGACGGTACATCCTAGTTGGCCTCGCTGCCAGCAGAGCCCGGTCCCCAGCAAGACCGTACGTGGAGGGTTCTGATCGTCTCCAAGACTCGTGGCTGCCGGGCGCTCTGCACTTGCCCGCAGCGCTATGAGCCGACTGCGCAGGCCTGAATGCTGCACTGCACAGGCCATCCGGTTGCCATGGCAATGCTCCAGTCAGGCCTCCTGGGAGGCCATGCTCAGCTGACCTCCTTCAGGACTAGGTTTGGTGGTGCTACCCCAGCTAATGGTCTCCAGAAGGGGTTCCACGGGTGGATGTTCTGTGAATGAGGAGTCCAGGGCGCGACAATCGGCGTCTGGACACCCCCAGAGGGGCCACGCCCTCGGAGCCAGCTTTAGAGTCCGACTCTCTCCGCGGCGCGACTCAGGGTACCCCAAAGCCCAGCAGCGGTCGTAAAGGATTAGGCACGGACGGGTGCTTCTGCACGCCACACCTTATTCTGCGCACGCGTCCTCCGACCCCGCCCAGTCACCTCATTCTGCGCCTGCGCAGAGAGGCGGGGCGCTGTCGCCTGAGCGCGCACTTGGGGCGGGGCGGGGCCGGGGGGGGCGCGTGCCCGCCTGGAGTGACGCGGGAGAGTAGGCGAGTCGGGAGGGCCGAAGGGTAGAGCGGCGCAGCCCTCTGGGTTGGTGCACATCGTCGGCCTTTCTGGGCGCCGGGGCTCGCGTCTCACTGTCTCGCTGGGTTCCTCGAGCGGATCCGGGGCAAGAGGGAAGAGAACTCCGGGACAAGAGGGAAGAGAACTCTGGGTCAAGGGCCGCTGCTGCCCGGACTCGCCCGCCAGCCCGCGCTCGGCGGGGCAGCCTGCCAGGGTAAGGGGGCTGGGTTGTTCAGAGTAGGAGCGTGGGGCGGAAGTGCCTCTGTGGCGACCCATCCTACACACGGGAATACTGAGGCGCAGCGGCCACGGTGCTCCGGGTCCCCGGAGTCCAGCCTGGAGGCCTTCAGAGTGGTGGGGGAGGCTGGAGGCCGCCCTGCTGGGACCTCGGGGCGCTGCAGCTTTGCCTGGTAGGACCACCCTAGGAGAGCCAGCAAGCTGCTTGGGGCGCTGACTGAGTACAGGGATGTGGCCTGGAACGCTCCGGAGGGGACCTGTTGCCATTTCTTCTAACGGGCCGCTGCTTCCTCCTGCGTTCGTCTTGCACGGCAGAGTTCTTTGTTTAGTGTTCTGAAACAGGGAAGTGAAGCTTATTGTTTCCCAGACGTTCTGGCGAAAGCAGAACCGGACGAGCGGGAGACACTCAGCTGAACGGTCTGCACTGCCGGCAGGGAGAGCATGTTTCTGGCTTTCTTAGCTCACCTGGATGCACAGGGACCTCTGCTCCGAACTTTGGATAATTAAACGCGGTCTAAACAGATTGCTCTGCAGCCTGCACAGGGCACAGGGAGGGAGGTGTGTGTGTGTGTGTGTGTGTCTGTCTGTCTGTCTGTCTGTCTTTATGTGAACACTTTTCCCCTTTTGCAGTTTCAGACGTAGTTGGTGTGGGGATCAAGTTTTAGTGATTCTAACATTATGTAAAGGGGTTGGGACTGGAGAAATCGCTCAGCTGTTAAAAGCGCATTCTGCTCATGCAGAGGACGGGGTTCGGTGCTCAGCACCCACATGAAGTGGGTCATCTATAACTGTAGCTTCAGGGGATCCTATGCTCTCTTCTGGGCCCTGCCAGCACTGCTCTCATATGCACATAACACCCCTTCCACATACCCGGAAGTAAAAGAAAGAAAAACAAAATTTTAAAGAAGAATGCAGATTGGGTTGAAGAGATGACTCTGCGGTTAACAACACTGGCTGCTCCTCTAGAGGATCTGAGTTCTATTCCCAGGACCCACATGGCTGCTCACAGCTGTCTGTAACTCCAGTTAGGGGGATCCATCACACCAGGCATGCATATGGTGTATATATCAGTGCATGCAGGCAAAATACACATAAAATAAATCTCTTAAAAAATCTTTTTTTTAATAATAATAAAAAAAACGCAGACTCAACCTCTGACCCGCCGCCCAAGGAATTTTGAAGGATAATTTTTTAGAGATTAATTTTATTTAAGTGTGTGTCTTTTGGATGTCACATGTGTGTTGGTGTCAAAAGTAGGCAGAAGAGGTGTCAACATTCTCTGGAGCTAGAGGGTTACGAGTCGACCCACATGAGTGCTACAAACCAAACTCTGGTCTTCTGAAAGAGCCCCAAGTGCTCTTAACTGCTAAGCCATCACTCCAGCCCCATTCTTTTCTAAGCTATTATATTGTTATTATATCTTCTCCTTTAAGCATATTATTATTATTATTATATTGTTATTATATTATTATATGTTGCAAATAATAATGTGTGTATACATGTGCCAAGTCATGATAACTTGAGGGTTGAGTTCTTTCATTGAGTGAGTCTGGGGCTCAAACTTAAGTTATTAGGCTTGGCAGGAAATGCCTTTACCACCAAGCTGCTCTGTTTTGTTTTGTTTTCTTTTAAAAACAGGGTCTCAGCCAGCTGTGGCGGTGCATGCCTTTAATTCTAGCAGCCGCAGGTGGATCTCTGAGTTCAAGGTCAGTCTGTTCTACAGAGTGAGTTTTAGCACAGCCATGGCTACATAGAGAAACCTATCTCAAAGAAACTAAATAGATTGAAATAAAAGCAGGGTCTTCCTCTGTATCCCTGGCTGGCCTCAAATTAGTGGCTATCCTCTTTCCTCAGCCTCCTGAGTGCAGGATTGCCATCTTATTTCTGAGTGTATCCAGATTAGTATGTCAGTCTTTCTTTGAGTTGTGAAATCCATTATTGCTCTTTTGATAGTAACTTCAGTAATGAGGTTACTGTAAGGCTGTTATACTAATAACTGTACTTGAAAGCATAGACTCGTTCTGCTCCAAGATGTGAGGGAGAGGCTGAAAAGAGAAGTCTGCTTCTTGGAGCCTGAGCTCCTGGCTGGAAATTGGAGACCTTGGCCTGTGTTAGGTCGCTGTTTCTTATCTCCCCTGCAGCCATTATGCCCAGGAAGTTAACTTGCTTGGTTAAACGTGCCTTGTGTATGCCTAGAAACCCTGTGGCTCTTTCTGTGAAGGACAGGCTCCAAAGCCAAGGCTGGTCTTTAACTTCCTGTGCCTTAGCACAGGTTGGCTTCTTGAGGCATGGGTTAGCACTCTTCTCCTGGTTCTTCATCAGAGGAAAAGCACTGCCTTTTTGGGGCTGGAGTCTGCTGTTCATATTCTCACAGATTTGCCAGGAAAAGGTTTGCTGCAGGAATGTCTTGTGAGTCTTTGTCAGTGTCTGCTCCTGTGTGGTCCTCCTTTAGTAGGTGATGTAGCAGTAGCTCTGGAAGTGGGTGACATCCTGAAACAAATTCCCCTTGAAACAACTTTAGGCAGTTTGTTTCTTTATGCTTTTGTCCCTTTTACTTTAATGGAACCACTTTTTTTTTTCTTCGAGACAAGGTTTCTCTAGTTTTGGAGCCTGTCCTGGAACTAGCTCTTGTAGACCAGGCTGGCCTCTAACTCAGAGATCTGCCTGCCTCTGCCTCCTGAGTGCTGGGATTAAAGGTGTGCGCCACCACTGCCCGGCATGGAGACATCTTTTAAAAGTTCAGGAGTGACACCCAGCCTGGTCTATAGAGTGAGATCCAGGAGAGCCAGGACTACACAGGGAAACCCTGTCTCAAAAACAAAACAAAACAAAAAAACCCCCAAAAAACAAACAAACAAACAAAAACCAAAACAATACAAAACAGACCGGTGATCCTTGCTCTGTTCTGGAGTTTCTACTGCACCTGTCAGCTCTGAGGTAGAAACAAAGATTTCCCTTTTTCTGGTCTTTAAAACCCCTCCATTTCCTTTACTGTTACTGAATTGTTTTGCCCTTGTGCACTGGACCCCATCATAACATACTGTGTTGAGGATCCATACAATGGTTAGGATTAAAAGAAAGCTTTTTTTGGGCAAGAGAGTTAGGTCAGTGGTTAAGGGCACTTCTTATTGTTGTGAAAGACCCAGGTTCAATTCCCAGAAACGACATAGAGGCTCACCACCTCCTCAGACACTAAGCACACATATGGTGCACAGATGCAGACAAATAAAATAATAAAAATAAATCTTAAAGAATATTTAAAAGAAGCTCTTATGCCATTGTGTACCCCCTACCCCAGCATTTCCCTGTATTACTACATTGGCCTCTAATTTGTGTTTAACTTCCCAAGTTAATGCCAGGGTACCTTGTCATGGGATGTGTGTGTTTTGGCGTCCTGATGAAGCCTGAGGTGGTTTTGTGAAACACGAGCTCTGTGTTAATTTGCTGTAGTGGCAGTGTTATTCAGAGCTCATACTGTCATGTGGTATACATCATTAGTCAGTTCCAGTTTGAATTATTTTTACTTGCCACCTTCAGTTCTTTCTTTCTTTCTTTCTTTCTTTCTTTCTTTCTTTCTTTCTTTCTTTCTTT